AAAAAAAAAAACCTCTCCAAAAAATAAAAGAATTCAGTCAATTCTGGTCAGCTGCAGCCTTCTATCAGGGTGCCAAAGCTCACTGAAAAACTTTCCAAGTCAAAGAGGGGTGCCTTTCAACACTTCCTGCTCTTCTTTAAAATTATTTAACTTTACTTATTTTTTAATTCGACCAGAGGGACAGAGCAAGAGAGAGAAAGTGAGGAAGCAGGCCTTCAGGTCCAGGACTTATACCGCAGTGGGCCATGTGGGTGTCCAACGCCCTTAACCACCAAGCCACCTACAGCCCCTACCACCTTTTTTAAGAAAGATTTTTGCTATAGGGCATGCGTGCTTGCTGGAGAGACAGACAGAAAGTGAGAAATCACCTCTCAGAGGGGATGGCCAGCCGCAATCCCTTCTCCTCAGTCTCTTCTCGTGAATTTGGGCACACGCACACATGCACCCTGTGTGTTTTTGTTCTGTTTTGAGAGGTTTTTGCTATAGGGTTCGTGTACTCATGAGAAAGACAGAGAGAGAAAGCGAGAATTTACCCCCCAGAGGGGATGGCCACGTTCCAATCCCTTCTCCATTCTCCTCTCGGGATCTTGGGCACGCATGCACACATGCCTGGCGTGAGTTTAATCACCGAGTCTAGGACTCAAACTGCAGTCGACTACATGGGAGTCCAGCGACATAGCCATTACGCCAACTATTGATCCCCCCCCAAGTTGTTGGGCCTTTTTTTTTTTTTTTTGAGAGGTTTTTGCTATAGGGCACATGTACTTGCCAGAAAGAGAAGAGACAGAAAGTGAGAAATCACCCCCCCAGGGGGGGATGGCCACACCCTAATCCCTTCTCCTCCATTCTCCTCTAGGGATCTTGGGTACACATGCGTCCTGTGTAAGCTTAGGCCACCGGGTCCAGGACTTGAACCACTGTCAACTACATGGGTCCAGCAACATAGCCATTATGCCAACTGCTTCATGCCGACCCCCCCTCCCCCGGTGTGTTTTAAACCACCAGGTCTGGTACTTTAACTGTAGTCAAATACGCGGGAGTCCAGCGCCATAACCATGATGTCATCTGCTGGTTCCCACTGCCTACTCTCATCAGACTTATTTCCTTTATTCTGCTAAGATTCTTATGATTTCACTTCTTCTGCCTAGACTGTCACCATCCCCAACAGGGAAACATCTCATTTCCTTAAAATTTTGTAACTTGTGTACTTCTAGAAGAGAGATCTTCAAGGGACCAATGCAACTGGAAGTGGAATAAGGGGGTGCAAGGGTAGAGGCAGAGATAGAGCACAGCTAATTCATGACCTCAGTTTACTAAGACCACAGTCCTTATAAAAGAAACCAAGTCTGGGGCTGGCAGGTGGCATGGCGGTGAAAGTGCAGGACTCCATGTGGCTGACTGTGGTTTAGTCCTGGACTTGGCAGCCTGAAAATTACACCAGGCACATACATGTGCATGCATGTCCAAAATCCCAAGAAAGGAATGGAGAAGGGATTGTGGCATGGCCATCCCCCTTGGGAGGGATGATTTCTCATTTCCCCTTTGTCTCTCTCCCAAGTGCTCACGCCCTATGATAAAAATCTTTTAAAAAGACTAAATCTTGGGACCAACAGATGGCATGATGGTTGCATCGCTGGACTTCCATGTAGTCGATTGTAGTTTGAGTCCTGGACCCGGCAGCTTAAAAACTCATGCCAGGCATGTGTGCATGCTTGCTCAAAATCCAAAGAGGAGAATGAAGGGATTGCGGTGTGGCCATCCCCCCTGGGGGGTGATTTCTCGCTTTTGTCTACCCTCCCCCCCACCCCGGGAGCACACACACCCTATAGCAAAAATCTCTGTTAAAAAAGGCAGAATTGGGACCAGCAGTTAGCATAATGGCTATGTCGCTGGACTCCCACGTAGTCGACCGCGGTTCAAGTCCCGGACCCGGTGGCTTAAACTCACGGTGGGCGTGTGTGCGTGCGTGCCCAAGATCCCGAGAGGAGAATAGAGGAGAAGGGATCACAGCGTGGCCATCCCCCCGGGGGGTGATTTCTCGCTTTCTGTCTCTCTGTCTCTGTCTGGCAAGCGCACGCACCCTATAGCAAAAAATCCTCTCAAAGGGCCCATCAGGTAACATGGTAGTTAAGGGTACTGGACTCTCACGTGGTCAACCATAGTTCAAGTCCCAGACCAGGTGGCTTGCTTTCTCACTCCCTGCCACTCTCGCTTGTTCTTTCCCTTTCTGGTCAAATTAAAATAAGTAAATTAAATTAAAATTATTATTTTAAAAAATTAAAGACCAGTCTTTTTCTTTTAGAATTATTATTATTTTCTAATTTGCTATAGAACACATGCTTTCACCAGAGAGAGAAAGAGAAATCAAGCCACCAGGTCTGCGACTCAAACCATAGGCAAGCATGTGGGAATCTTGTCCCTTAACCATTGTGGCACCTGCTGGCCCTACGATAGTCTTTTAATGTCTTTAGCCATGTCTGGCACAAATTTAGTATCAAAATATTCAACAGCTTAAAGCAGATTTTAAAAATGAAAACAAAAAAATCTAAGTTTCTAAAATAAAAAAGCCTGCTGGGTCAACAGGTGGCATGGAGGTTAAGGCAGCTGGATCTCATATGACTGACTGCACAGCTCAAGTCCTGGACCTAGTGGCTTGAAAATCATGCCTGGTGCATGCCCAAAATTCCAAGAGGAGAATGGAGGAGACTGACATGGACATGGCCATCTCCCCTGGGGAGTGATTTCTCGCTCACTTTGTCTCTTTCTCTACCTCTCTCTGTCAGTGCCCCATCGCAAACTGAGGGAAGGGGAGGGTAGACCTTGCTAGTCACTGAAATTCCAGCAGATAGCAACCACTACCATGCTTGAAGAATATAGAAGGAAACTTTCTGGAATTGACTAGTACAGGAAGGATGAAGAAATGAGGTGGGCAGAGGACAAAAGCTTTCTATCCACCTTTTCAGAGAAAAGATACCCCTAAGTTTGTCCAAAAAAGAATTGTTTTCCAAGTGCTGAATCCAATGTCAGTGTAGTAAAACACAACCACAGTAAGGCCAGCCATGGACTAGTGGTTAAGGCAGCTGGATCCTACACAGCCAACTCCATAGTTGAGTCCCTGACTTAGCAGCCTGACAAACATGCTGGGCACATGTGCGTGTATGCCCCGAATCCTGAAGGGTAGGAGAAATGGAGAAGGGATTGTGGTGTGATTATGATCCATGGGGGTGGGGATACTGTCTGCCTTTCTTTCTCTTTGCCTCTCTTATGTGAACATTCTCATCCTCTGGCAAAATAAAAAACAAAAACAAAAAAATTCAACCACAGTGTACTAAAAGAAACATTAGTCTGACAGGGCTGGATTCCTATCCCAAAATTATTTATTAGTTTTAAGAATTCAATTATTCAACTTTTCTGTTCTGCATTGGTTAAACTGTAATACCTATACTGTAATATTTATGTGGATATTAAATACAGTAAAATCTATGGGACCAGCAGTTGGTGTAATGGCTATGTTGCTGGACTCCCACATAGTCGACCGCAGTTTAGAGTCCTGGACCCGGTGGCTTAAACTTACGCCTGGTGAGTGTGCATGCATGCCCAAGATCCCAAGAGAAGAACGGAGAAGGGACTGCAGTGTGACCATCCCCCCTGGGAGGTGATTTCTCGCTTTCTGTCTCTGTCTCTTTTTCTCTTTCTGTCACTCGCACGTGCCCTATAGCAAAAATCTAAGAAAAAAAAAATTTAGGATATGGGGCCTAGCATTTAGCAAACAGTGAATAAATGTTAGTTCTTTTTTCCACCCCACTCCTTCTGTCAATCTGCAATAACTGATTTAGAGTAAAACATTTCATTTGTCACTATTTTTAAACAATTTTTTAAAATTTAATTTTATGTATTTATTTATTTCAATTTGACCAGAGAGGGACAGAGTGAGAGAGAAGAAAAGTTGAGAAAGCAAGCCACCAGGTCCAGGACTCGAACTGTGGTCAACCATGTGGGAGTCTAAAGCCTTAACCACCACGCCACCTGCTGGCCTCTCATTGGCTATTTACCATTGCTGTATTCTTTGAGGGTCCCTAGTTACAATTAGTTAAAAACCTAAAAAAGATGAGGTGCCAGGGACATATGAAAGTAAAGGTCTGGATGCAAATAAGGCTTTTTTTTTTTCTCTAAAGAATTCTTTTATTTACCTGCTTTTTTTAAAAAATTTATTTTAATTTTATGGGGATGGGGGGGAGAAGAGGTGGGGGGAGAGAGAGCAAGAGAGAGAGAAAGCAATTGGCCAGGTCCAGGACTCAAATTGCAATTGGCCATGTGGAAGTCCAGCATCCCTAACCACCACGTCACCTGCTGGCCCCAATGCAAGTAAGGCTCTTTTTTTTTTTTTTTTTTTTTTGTGTTTTTTTTTTTTTTTTTTTTTTTTTTTTTTGGTCTTAGGGCACCTGCACTCATTGCGGGTGCCAGGGAGAGTGCAGGGTGGGGAGGAGAGAGAAAGTGAGAAATCACCCCCCCCTCGAGTTTAAGCCACCGGGTCCGGGACACAAACCATGGTGGACTACACGGGAGTTCAGCAACATAGCCATTAAGCTAACTGCTGGTCCCGCAAGTAAGGCTCTTAAAAGAGGCCCCACTTTGAAGATTAATGGCATCTCGGGAACCAGCAGTTAGCGTAATGGCTATGTCACTGGACTCCCACGTAGTCGACCTCAGTTTGCGTCCCAGACCCGGTGGCTTAACTCATGCCGGGTGCATGTGCGTGCGTGCCCAAGATCCCGAGAGGAGAATGGAGGAGAAGGGACTGCGGCGTGACCATCTCCTCTGGGGGGTGATTTCTCGCTTTCTGTCTCTATGTCTCTCTCTGTCTGCCGAGCGCATGCGTCCTATAGCAAAAACCTCTCAAAAAAAAAAAAAAAAAAGATTAATGGCATCTCAAAAGAATCTCAGGACTATGACTAAGCAGATCATGAAATAACACGCCTGATAAATAACAACACAGTAGCTAATAATAACACTTTTTTTTTTAAATCATTATGGAGAAAGACAACAAGAAAAATAGGAGGAAAGTCCCACACACTAACAATCCATGATACCAAGCGCTCGAGGAGTAATAACTTCCCAGGTAAGAGAGATGTTCCCCTCAGTCTGTAATATCAGTATGAGTAAAATCCATCTGCCCCTTTGTGAGCAAGTCTTCTACTCAGAACTGACCCGGGTCTGGAAGAGTAACTAATTCCAACGTGAAGGGCTGCAGCCTCCAGCAGCCACTGTTCTCTGTTCTTTCTACATCTTCTCCTCAGTGGTGACATGGCCACTGCCCAGGAAACTGGTGGCAAGGACCCCAAAGGGAGAAGCAACAGCAGATGTCTACGAACACTGTGTGGTGAGCGTGGCTCAGATCTAGACTCAGAGCTCTGCATGGTGAGTTTCCGCCTTCAACAGCTCATTAGGCTTCATGAAGATTCCTTCCATGGCTTTCCAGTAGTTGTTCTGGCTTGGTTGAGCCATGCCATGCACCTCTTTTTGCCCACTGATGGGTCGGCCATATTGTTCTCCTGTGACAGACAGCAGTACCTCTGTAGAAGAATGCTTGAACCGTACCTCACCATCTCTCACCCAGTATGGCCCGCTACAGAGCACTGTCCAGTCATCCAGGTAATCGCCTTCACCTTCCTCACCAAAAGCACTTACTTCCTGGAAGACAGGGCAAGGGGTAGCATTAGCATGCTGACACAGCTTGGAAAGGGAAAGGAGGCAATGGGAAGAAAATAAGGTTACACAACAGCAAAAAATGAGAAGTCTTCTACTGTTATATAAAATAACAAACCACAAAACAGACAAAAAGACACAAAGGGCACATAAAAGGAAAAAACATTAGTGATTATAAAATTGCAGTCAAAACATTTATTTTGCAATTAATACTATATTTGCCTTATATTTTCTAATATAGTCTTAAAATACATTATAATTTTTTTTTACTTTCTAACGTTTGATATTTGACCTTATTCTTGCTTTATCCCCTTAAGTAGATTTTAAGTGACTGGGTAAGAAAAATGGGAAGGGGATGGGCCTAGATGCAGGCAGACTTTGCTTAACTCATTCCTTTCCTGTGTTATTCCTTTGAGCCCTCATTTTCTTCTCTATAAAGTGATGACAATGTCAGGGCCAGCAGGTGGCATGCTAGTTAGGGCATTGGACTAACACATGAACAGTAAATATTGAGCAAAGCATGGCAGGTTCTCTATAGTCTTTGTTTTTTTAAAAATAATTACTTTATTTAATTTTGTTTAGTTAGTTAGTTTAAATTTTTGACCAGGGACAGAAAGAGAGAGAAAGTGAGAAAACAAGTCGTCAGGTCTGGGACTCAAACCATGGTTGGTCATGTGGGAGTCCAACGCCTTTAATCACCACGACACCTGCCAGCCCCAGGTTCTCTATATTCTACTTCTCATTTAAATCATATTCCCCTTGGGACCAGCAGGTGGCATGGTGGTTAAGGTGCTAGACACTCTCACATGGCTGACCACGGTTCAAGTCCTGGACCTGGCAGCTTGCTTTCTCATTTTCTCTCTCTCTCTGTCTCTCTCTGATCAAATTAAAATAAATGAATGAATAAATAAAATAAAATAAATAATTATGTTTTTAAAAAATCCTATTCCCCTTAAGGCCAAATATTCAGAGTTTCTATACAAAAGTAATAAAAAAAATACTGATTACTTCAGAAATGTTTAAGTAATCCATTAATTCTTCTGAGAGATTTTTGCTATAGGCATGTACACTTGCTGGAGAGACAAAGAGAGACAGAAAGCAAGAAATCACCCCATGGGAGGGATGGCCACACCATGACCCCTTCTCTTCCATTCTCCTCTCAGGATCATAGGCATGCAAGTACATGCACCCAGTACAAGCTGCCAGGTCCAGGACTTGAACTGTGGTTGACTATGTGGAAGTCCAGCAAAGTAATCATTACTGCTAGTCCATCTGCTAGTCCTCAGAAATGTTTAATTTAAATACACAGTCATAACTATATTATTTCAGTAGATAAAAAGCAATCATATGGAAAAGGTCTGGGAACCAGCAGTTAGCGTAATGGCTATGTCGCTGGACTCGACCGTGGTTCGCGTCCCGGACCCAGTGGCTTAAAACTCACGCTGGGTGCGTGTGTGTGCATGCCCAAGATCCCCAGAGGAGAATGGAGGAGAAGGGATTGCGGCGTGGCCATCCCTCCTGGGGGGTGATTTCTCGCTTTCTGTCTCTATGTCTCTCTCTGTCTGTCTGGCAAGCGCATGCACCCTATAGTAAAAAAACCTCTCCAAAAAAAAAAGAAAAGAAAAGGTCTGAAAAACTAAGGGCAAAAAGAATACAAAATTACAACACTTAAAGAAGGATGATCAGTTAACAATTCTGATATTGTTATACTTGTATACTTGAAACCAAACACGTCAGTGTACTTACTTACACCACTCTGATGACAAATGGTGGGAGCCAGGCATCTCACCATTGATGCAGGAACTGACAAGCACAGGAAGGAGGCCACAATGGTCTACGTGGTGATAAGTTAGAGTTGACAACATTGACATCAGTAAGAAGTCATGTTTAACCTAATACAGGTTGAAATAGTAACTTAATATAGATACGGTCACACGTGAAAATATTTACAGCTGTGTGTACATATGTGGGTCCGCATATACACATCTATTTCTTTGTTCTGTCAGATGAAAGGGCTGAAGAGAGACAATACTCCAGTGGCAGTAAGCTTATGTAGGACCTAGGTCATGGTTCTAATACCTTTCACCAATAAAAAGAAACAGGGCTCCTTGGAGAAATGGCTGATTCTAGCACAGAGGTGAGAAATAAACAAGATGAGCCTAGAGTGTTTTTTAGTGCCAGAAAGTAAGGATGTGTTTTAACACACACACACACACGCATTCTCTCAGATGGATACAAGAGTCAACTAGAAGAATTCTCAATGCCTAAAATTACAACATGAATGAGAAAATTAAGACAGTGGTACTGGATTAAAACTGAAAGTATAGAGGCAGCAGCTGGCATGGTGGTTAAGGCATTGGATCTCACATGGCCAGCTGGTTCAAGTCTTAGATTCAGTAGTTTGTAAAACACACCAGGTTCTTGTGTGTGCATGCCCAAAATCCCAAAAGAATGAAGGAGAAGGGACTGAGGTGTGGCCAGGCCCCCTTGGAGGCGATGTCTCACTTTTTCCCCCTGTCTCTCTCCAGTAAGCACACACCCTATGGTAAAAAATGGGGAGGGAACCCCTCAAAGTATAAAATAAATATAGGTGAGTTGATACTAATATACATAAATAATTGAGAACAGATAAATCCTCTTTATAAAAATCCTAAAAACAATCACGTAGATACTCTACCCTAAAGTAAGAGGAGGTGGGACCAGTATATGGTGTAATGGTTATGTCACTGGACTCCCATATAGTCAACTGCAGTTTGAGTCCCAGACTTGGCAGCTTAAAACTCACGCTGGACACACGTGTTTGCATGCCGAAAATCCAGATAGGAGAATGGAGGAGAAGGAACTGCAGTATGGCCATCCCACTGGGGGATGATTTCTCACTTTCTATCTCTCTGTCGAGCACACAGACTCTATAGCAAAAATCTCTCAGAAAAAAAATAAAGGGAGGATAACTCCCTACCCTTGAAGTATGAGATGCACAAAATGACTTTCAAAGAACACAGTATGGGAAGGGGGAAAATACAATAAAAACTTAACAAATGCTATGTTAGCTAGGTAATAAAGGTCAACACCAACAGTCATAAATCAGGTAGATAGCATGTACTTTTTTTTTTAGAGGTTTTTGCTATAGGGCGCGTGCGCTCGCCAGACAGACAGAGAGAGACAGAGAGATAGAAAGCGAGAAATCACCCCCCAGGGGGGGAGGGCCAAGCCACAATCCTTTCTCTTCCATTCTCCTATCAGGATCTAGGGCATGCACGCAAATGCACCTGGCATGAGTTTAAGCCAATGGACCCAGGACTTGAACCGTGGTTGACTACATGGGAGTCCAGTGACATAGTCATTATGCTAACTGCTGGTCCTTAGCATGTACCTTTGATGTGATACAAATGGCACTTCACCTCTGTGATCTTCCTAAAACCCTTTACACCTAGTCTAATCATGAGAAGAATGTCAGGTAAGTTCCCATGGAGGGGTTTTCTATAATACCCCTGACCAGCACTGTCAAAAGTCATCAAAAGCAAGTCTGAGGGGTTGGCAGATGGTGTGGACTTAAGGCACTGAATTCCCACAAGGCTGACCACAGACCTGGTGGTTCACATTCTCACTCTCTCTTGTCAAATTTTTAAAAATAATAATAATAAATAAAATTGAATATATAGTTCTTATTAAAAATGTTTAAGGTGCTGGCAGGTAGCACAGTGGTTAAGGGTGCTGGACTCCCACATGGCTGACTGCAGTTTGGATCCCAGACCTGGCAGCTTGCTTTCTCATCTTCCCTCTCTCTCTCTCTCACTCTGTCCCTCTCAATCAAATTAAAAATAAATAAATAAAGTTAAAATAATTCTTTTTTATTTATTTTTTATTTTTTTTGCTATAAGGCGCGTGCGCTCGCCAGACAGACAGAGACAGACAGAGAGATAGAAAGCGAGAAATCTCCCCCAGGGGGGAGGGCCATGCCGCAATCCCTTCTCCTCCATTCTCCTCTCGGGATCTTGGGCACGCATGCACACGCTCCTGGCATGAGTTTAAGCCACCGGGTCCAGGACTCGAACCGCGGTCGACTATGTGGGAGTCCAGCGACATAGCCATTTACGCTAACTGCTGGTCCCAATTCTTAAAAAAAAAATTTTTTTTAAATCTGAAAAATTGTTTCAGCCCAAATGGAGCCTAATAAGACATGACAATTAAATGTAGTGTGGTGCCTTAGAATATAAGATGGACATCAGGAAAAAAATAAAGAAACCAGAATAAACGATGTACTTTAGTTGTAAATAACGTATCAACATTGCTTCATTAACTACAACAAATTTACCCTTCTAATGTAATATGATATCAGGAAAAACCCTGCAGGGTGGGAGGTAGGAGAGAAAAAGTCACTAAGAAATCCATATGCCCTGATGGCTCAAGGCTTGAAAAAGTGGCATAATACCTAATTCATTTTCCTAATGTGGTTAGTTAGAATCATTAAAAATAGTAATAATCTGGGGTCAGCAGGTGGTGGTAGTGGTTAAGGTGCTGGACCCCTGCAGAGGTGACAGCAGTTCAAGTCCCAGACCCAGTGTCTTGAAACTCAAGCTGGGTGCATGTACATGCATGTCCAAAATCCGGAGAAGAGAATAAAGGAGGGATTGTGGTATGGTCATCTCCCGGGGGTGGGGTGGGGTGGGGGTGGTTTCTCGCTTTCTGTCTCTCTGGCGCGCACATATGCCCTATGGCAAAAAATATCTCCAAAAAAATAGTACTAATTTCATTGCAAGTTTGGAAGACAGTGGGCTTATTTATTACTGCATTAGTTAGAATTTATGATATACTGATGTATACCTATTCTGTCTTTATCCCATTTCCTTTCTTTTCTCTTTTTTTTTTTTTAAAGAGATTTTTGGGGACCAGCAGTTAGCGTTAATGGCTATGTCGTAATGGCTATGTAGTCAACCGTGGTTTGAGTCCTGGACCTGGTGGCTTAAACTCATGCTGGGTGCATGTGCGTGCGTGCCTAAGATCCCAAGAGGAGAATGGAGGAGAAGGGATTGCAGCATGGCCCTCCCCACTGGGGGGTGATTTCTCGTTTTCTATCTCTCTGTCTCTCTGGCAAGTGCACACACCCTATGGCAAAAACCTCTCAAAAAGAAAAAGAAAGGGATAAAAAGAGAGCTTTTTGCTATAGGGCACATGCACTTGCTAGAAAGAGAGAGACAGAAAGCAAGAAATCACCCCCCAGAGAGATGGCCAAGCTGCAATCCCTTCTCTATTCTCTTCTTGGGATCTGTGGCATGCATGCACATGCACCCCAGGTGAGTTTAAGCCACCAGGTCCAGGACTTGAACAGTGGTCAACTACATGGGAGTCCAGTGATGTAGCCATTATGCTATCTGCTAGTTCCCTGAGATGTTCTTAAAAGTGCCAGCCAGGGCCAGGATTTGAACTGGGGTTGACCATGTGGGATTTGGCTCTCTTAACCACTGTTTTATAGGACTAGCACTCTGATTGGAACTTTTTCTATTGATTCAAACTTTTAACTAGAATATCAAATAATTTCTCTTCTTAGGAGCTTGGGCACACACGCACAGGTGCTCAGCATGAGTTTTAAGCCGCCGGGTCTGGGACTCAAACCACTGTCGACTATATGGAAGTCCAACTATGTAACCATTACGCCATTCATTTGCTGGTTCCTCCTCCCATTTCTTTTTTTCCTTTTTTTTTTGGAGAGTTTTTTTTTTTTTTTTTCTTTTTATTTTTTATTTTTTTTCTTTGGGGTG